AGAAAACAACGGGGTAAGTGTTCTTAGCTCAACTTTGGTTAGATTACCCGAATCCATCGTTGTTTTTAACATTTAATTGGTGATTTTAAGTTTGAAAAGTTTGAAAACCCTCTTGGATAGATTTGAGGATTTGAGGGTCGAAATGTTATCGGAATTTTGTTATTTTGGTATGGTTAGACTCGTGGTTGAATGGGTTGTCGGATTTTGTGAGTTTTATCGGATTCTGACATGTGGGCCCCATTGGTGATTTTGAGTTAAATTTTGGATTTTGTTGGAAAATTAGTATTTTCATATGAAATTAATTCCTATAATTAGTATTGACTAAATTGAATTAATTGTGGCTACATTCGGGTCGATTGAGGCCGATACGAGGGGCAAAAGGCATTTTGTAGTAGGATTTTGCTCGGATTGAGGTAAGTAATGATTGTAAATACTGTCCTGAGGGTATGAAACCCCGAATTTCACATCATTGTGCTACTTTGAGATGACGCACACGCTAGATGACGAGCGTGAGGTTGTGCACCGTTGGGGATTGTGACTTGGTCCATCCCGTACGATTATTAAGTCGCATATTTTACTTGAAAACTATTTGATATTGTTATATTTTGGAAAATATTATTTTATTTGGGGCTAAATGCAGTGTCTGAGCCTTGTGCCGATTGCCTGGACCCTTAGGGGCTTTTACTATTGTTTTACCTCACTGTTTTGGTTTAATGTTTACACTCAGACATGCTATGTTCTTACGTTTTAATAACTCGGTTTTATTCACTCCTTTTGATTTCATAAATGATTTTGAGTCGAGTACTTGTTTTATTCTCAGCCCGAGGGACTTGAGTGAGATCTGATTGAGTGAGGTCGATGGCCTGTATTGTGAGGATATCATGGGATCGGGCTGCGCGCCGCAGCATGTGGTACTGATTTATGGTTATGAGGCCGAGGGCCTGATTTGTTACGCCACGAGGTGGATTGATATGAGGCTGAGAGCCTGTTTGATTATGCCACGAGATGACTTGTTATTGCGCTCGGGCCGTAAGGGGTCCCTCCCGGAGTCTGTACATCCCCAGTGAACGCGGGTACCTAGTGTGAGTGATGTGTTGTAGCCCGAGGGGCCGTTGTTGATTCATATTGAAGCCCGAGGGGCTGATTACGAGTGATTGTGAGCTAGCCCAAGGGGCTGGTTCTGTGATATTGTGCCCGAGGGGCTATTTACGTTTCTATCATTTTTACTCACTGTTTTATCACTCGTTTGAAACTATTGAAAGTTGTTTTTAAAAGGTTTTACCGAAACTGAGTATGATCTACGAAGTAAACAATTTCTGTACTGTTTTTGGAAATATACTGCTTTTGCTGTAGCGTTATGACGTGGCTTACGTGTTTTCTTACTGCTCAGCATCCATTTACTTTTATTACATACTGAGTTGGCGTACACACATTACTCCCTGCACCTTGTCCGCAGATTCTGGTAGTTCTGAACCCGGTAGCGGGTATTGATTGCTCAGTGGCAGAGTCATTGGAGTTAGCAAGGCAGCTGCCCGGCGTTCGCAGCACTGCTTTTCTTCCTTTTGTCTTCCTTAGACTGTATTTAGTACATTTTAGACTCCTTGCTGTATTCAAACCTTAGTAGATGCTCGTGACTTGTGACACCCCGATGTCGGGCTTGTGTATTTATTTCGCACTGTTCATTTAGACTTACATTATGAGATATCTGATTAGTCAAAGGCTAAAAGAAATTATTGTTATTGATTAAATGGTTAATTCGGAAGTTGTATCGGCTGGCCTAGTTTCACGATAGACGCCATCACTGTTAGCTTCAAGTTTTCACGTATTAATTTTGATGATAACAAACCAACATAATTATTAATCAAAGAACATTTACTTGTGGTAATCTTATTTTTTGTACAGGTTATTCAAGAAAGAAAATGCTGGTAAAGATCCAAACAAATATGGGAAAGAGAATATTATGGGAAAGTGAATATCAAATATTGAATGACTCACTACAATATCAGAAGAAGAATCTACAGGATATTATGGATTGAAAGTTTTTCAACATCTTGAAAGGAAAGTTGCTAGAATCATGGAGAAGATCTATTATTTTGTGAAAGAAAAATACTACAAGGAAAAGATACTACAAGACCAAGGAAGAATATATTTTCTATGGAAAGAAAATACATTATGGATATAGTACAATCTATACTATGGAAAGAGATTATTTTCCAAGATCAAGAAAGGAATATTTTTAATATAATAGGAGAAGAATATATTTTCTATGTAAAGTAAATATCTCTATTATGGAAGATTATTTTACAAGATCAAGAAAGGATTTCCAATGGGAGTTCAAAAATGCCATTATTATTTATGGGAAAATATTCTTACTACATTCCCCTTTGGTATGGAAAAATAAAATAATGTATGGAAATAAGTTTGAGTTCCATATAAAGAATGACTATTACTCTTCTGGAAATTCATCAAGGATATGGAAGGTTGAAGAAGACGCGCGTAGAGAACTATTGCTCTTATAGAAATTCATCAAGGCTATGGAAGGTTGAAGAAGATGCACGTGGAGATGGAGTTATGAAATGCAAAGTTGTGTAAAGAAGATCAACCAAGATATTGCTTGCAAATAAAGAGCAAATATTCTACTACCATAAAAGAAAAAGAATCCTCTACACAAGGATTCTCATGCTGGTACTCAATGAAGAATTTTCATATTCAAGAAAGGAAAGTAGAGACAATTAGGATCTGTCCAAGTACATAAAGTCAAACAAGGAAAGGAAATCAATATTGCAAAGATGCCCATATCCATCTTCAAAGAAGTGACAAGTCAACATACTATCCATATTCATACAAGTGCTGGAGCTGCAAATTATGGAAACAAATAAATGAGCAATGGTCAAATCCCCTCGGAATGTGCAATAGCCATAACAAGTTGAGAGGGCTATAAATATACTAGCTCGATGAAGGAAGAAAGTACGCAGCCTTCTATACAAATTGTCTATCCAACTACAAGTTCTTTATTCTACTCTTAACAACCATTGTAATTCACTTTAGTAGATTTACTGTGTACACAAAAGAGAGAAGAGAGACAGAAAAATATTGGAGAGGTAGTGTGTCCTAGAGGTTGTGTCATTGTTCGTTTCTTTGGTGAGCGAGTGAAAACCAAATAGTCATTGTTGGTGAGCGAGTGAAAACCAACCCTGTCAGCGTTGGTGGTGATCGTTGAAAATCACAAAGGCTGTACTCAATTCAATTTACGAAGAGCTCTAAAAGACAACACTCTTGCAACCCAAGAGGACTGGATTAGGATACCACATTGGTTCCGAACCAGTATAAAATTCCTGGTGTCATTTACTTTATCGCTCTTATATTATATTCTGTTCCTTTAATTTACTGTTTATTGCGATTAACACTTGTTTAAATCGAAAGGACTAACAGTTCTGTGCAGGCTGCCTCCGCATAAGTCAACTAGGTCTGAAGAGTAGTCGACTAGAAATTTAAAAAGGATACAATTCACCCCCCTCTTGTACTTTCAATCACGACTGGGTCGGTTTTAGGGTCGTGACAAAACCCTAGTCTTTCTCTTTGATAAGTATTCTTGAATAATCCTGAAGAGAGACTCACGGTGATTTGCAATTATTTTCACTTGATTTATGAGAATTTTTTGGGGGATCAAGATTAGCGCTCTTCTGAAATCACTTTGCTGCGTACTGAAATGACAAGGCGAAATGCCTATTTACTGTCGTTTTTTTCGAAAGAGTGCCCAACAACTTTATTTGGTTAGTTCCCAAAGTTCTTTTTATATACTAATTGATCAAAGATGATCCTTTTTGATTCCCAGCGGGGGCTTAAACTTTATTCAATTATCAATTAATTAATTAGGTAATATCCCGCTATCCGGTAATTAACCAATTACCCGCGTAATTAAGAATTGTCTCAAATTACTTAAAATTTTACTTATTTTTGATACACTTTATACGCCCTACTATTATCGTCATGTGGTACCATATAATATAAATACATATACTACTATTTAAAACATCCATGTAAAAACACATATATTTTCTCAACTTCTAATTTTTCTAATCTCATATAAAGAGTACAAATTTTTGTATGCTTAATTCTTAAAATGGTAAAAAGATAACCTTCTTTTCTTGTGAGAAAATAATTTCTATCTTTACAATAAAGAAAATCTCATAAACTTTCTCATATTATGTGTATAATTTAAAGCATACTCGAAAGTAGTAATATTAATAACTATATAAAATTATATTTTCTTTTCAAATTATTTTACAAAAATATCCCACTCAAAATATCATACACTGGTTGAATTCGTTATGTACATATCACACTCCCAAACAAGTGAGACTCTCTAAGAGTTAACCTACCATTTTTTGAAAGGAATTTTTACATTCCTATGCCACATAGGAAACCTTATTACCCTTAATGTTTAAGGATTGACTTAATTACACTTAGTATACCAAATTACCAATTCTATATCGTAGTGTATTTTAGCTTGTAGCTTGTAGCTTTGGTATAATTGCTTTAATAGCCAAACACGTAAATTTTTTTGTGATAAAAGATAGCAATGAGATTTGAACGCAAGATTATTCAAAAGTATGTTTTTAGCATGGAATATGAGTCAGAGTTATATGAATAAAATTAATTTAATGTTACACAATGTATTCTTTTCGTCCATTAATTCCTCTAACAAGTCCGACTATCTCCATTTCGTTGTTTATGTATTTTCCTCTTGTAATTAATTAGGAAAGCAAAGGTGGGAAAACGATATTTAGTGATTCAAATTCTAGAACAATTCACATATTCGTAGTCAAATTAGTACTTTCTTTTAATTTTCGTAAGTCTTAATTTTGGACTTACCGATAGAAAATGCACATCCGATTTTTATTCTCAACAATGGACATTTTCTTTCTCAATCATTTAATAAAGTTGTTACTCCTTCCTTTCTTATTATTTTTTTCCAAAGTAATTAATGAAGGCCAGAAATGACCATATTTCCAGCGAGACGAGCTGAGGATCGCAACAGCATATCTGGTGGTGTCGGTGTCGCAGCTGGTGATGGAGATAGTGCCATATCATCAGCTGGTGGAGAAGGCGGTGGTGGTGACGGCGATGGTGGTGGTGGAGGTGACGGCGATGGAGGTGGTGGAGAAGGTGATGGAGGTGGTGGAGAAGGTGGTGGTAGTGGCGACGGCTATTGCCGCTTAGGTGGAGGGCTACGAGAAGGGTTACTTTTAGGAGAATGTTTTGGAGATTTCCCAAAGGAAGGCCACTTAAACTTAAAACGCTGAAGAGTTGCATCAGGCAAACTTTCAGTGCCATGATCTCCATTAGTGAGCTCTGAAAATGAGCTAATATCAAAATATAATGGAGTTATTGAATCGATTGTAGCTTGTAGCTTAATTGGTAATTTTGACATTGGTATAATTTCTCATTCAATTGTAGCTTACTTGGTATTTTCGATATAATTGTGTTGTTTGCAGAAGATTTGTAGAAGTTTTAGTCGTTTTTGATTTGCGAAAACAGAAAACAAAACATCTACAATCAGAATACAAATAATCTACAATTTATCTACAAAATATCTATAAACTGGGTACATTGCATTTTTATATCGCAATTCCCATTCAATTGTAGTTTAATTGGGATTTTCGACATAATTACGTTTTTTTGCAGAAGATTTGTAGAAGTTTTAGCCGTTTTTTATTTGTGAAAACAGAAAATAAAGCATCTACAATCAGAATACAAATAATCTACAATTTATCTACAATTTCTGCAATATGTCTTCTTCTTCTTCTTCTTCTTCTTCTTCTTCTTCTTCTTCTTCTTCTTCTTCTTCTTCTTCTTCTTCTTCTTCTTCGAGTTTCAATCTGAAATTCAGTCAAAACCAAGTCTAATCTTCACCAGAACCCCTCAAAATTGAGATATAAACTACAAACCATATTCCCGATTATTTTTAACAACACACAATCCAAATAAATAATGATTTTTGAAAACCCAAATTTGAATTCAAAGCTTTCAAGCTTTTTAATGGCTGTCAATGGTGGAAAATATCTAGAAGAATATTTACTTCCATACTGTGACCAAATTGGGGTTGCAATCCTAGATGATGGAATGCAGGTCTGTAGCCAAAACTGCATTTTGAGTGTTAAGCACCTACTGACCGAACAGGAACCTTGTTGTTTATATTTAGTAAAACTAAATCATTCTATTCTTGGGTTAAATTGAGTTAAAAATGTTTCCCATGTATACCTCTCTGATTCTTTCCCCTTTATAATTATAACTATTTGATCTTCCAGACAATTCAAAATTGGATACCCTTTTTATTTCACCCGACTTTATATCCGACCAAAAAATGGCTTTGCTTCTGACTAGGATTTACTTAGGAGTATGATTGTGGGCTCCTAATAATTGGTATTTAATGAATGGTATATATTTTATAGAATAACTGTGAACATGGCGGGTAAATATGAAACTATGCACATTTTTTATAATAAGCTTTCATATACGGTATAGGACGGAAAAAGTCTCTATTTGAAAAATCAAACAAGAAAATGAAGTCAAGCTTCTCAAGCATTGCCTTAAAAATCTCTAGTCTGTCAATCCAACTTGTAACTAACGCTCCTTGTTCAATTATAATCTCAAAACACATAACATTAACTTCACGTGAGAACTTAAAACTTTTATATTAACTCTTTTAAAAACACATCAACGTTTAAAAAAATGCATATAATAAGTTCCAGTGTTAAGAAATTTAGCGCTCAAACTCACGGGATGTAACATCCTTCCCCCCTTTAGAATATTCGTCCTCGAATGTTAACTCTTAGAGATTTGCAAAATTTTCACTAGGGTCTCCTCTGTAATTTAAACTTAAAAACCAAACTATATCAGATGTCTTGACTATTCACAACCTTTTGTACTTGACTATCTCATATCTTCTTCACCTTTAACTTACTTACCTTTCAATCTCGCAACGTATCTTCTGTTTCTTTCATAGCCTCTCTTCCACATAAGTGGAAATTACGCCTTAAAGCTCTACTGTGATACATGCACCTCTGGTGCATACAAAATATGGCGAAAGCTTCATATTGACTTCTTACGACTCAGCTCTATGGCACAATCTGGGAACAAAAGAAGGGTAACATTTCCTAAATGCCCTATAGCCTCTCAATTATAAAGGTGGCACGCAACACTCCCATAAGTGAGACTCTACTAGGTACGGCTTTGTAGACTTCCCTAGGACACGACCCGCTCTGATATCACTTTGTCACGCCCCAAACTTGGGGAGGTGTGGCTGTCACCCGGTGCCGAGCTGGCCCGAGCGAGCCACTCTGTAACTCATGATCATTCGACCAAGACTAGCACATAAATAGGCCGAGTTAGTTGGGCTCATTCATTTTGTAACTATCATGGGCCAACATGGCCACAACCCATAATGTACAACTGTAAGTGGGCCAACACTGTATCAATGAACCATCGTTCTTAAAACATTAATACATATAGGCCGTCAAGGCCTCTAACATATTGTACCAAATGCCTCTATCTACAAAGCCTCTAAGATTATTTGACATCGAATGGGACAGGGTACCGGCCTACCCATATGTCTGTAGCAAAATTCTGACACGATGACTCATAAACTCGGCTTCACTCCGAATGAGGTGGAGTCTTACTGATCCCTCGCCAAATGCTGACCTTGTCTACTATGAGGCTCGTCAAAATGATTGTCTATACCTGCAGGCATGAATGCAGGGTCCCAACAAAAGGAAGTTAGTACGAATAATGTACTGAGCATGTAATGCAGAACTGAAGCATAACAATAAGTCAACATTAATTAAAGACATATAAGAATCAACCTGAATCTCTGAAGTGCCACCGTATATGCATACTTATTATACTCATATATAATGCTTCTCTTTGAGACTATTTCTATTATCCATATCGTATGGTGCATGACTGCCCAACTAATCAGTGGTACTGCCCGACCGGCCGTAGTGCGGTGGTAAATGCATGACTGCCGGACCGGCCATAGCTCGGTGGTAAATATGTAACTGCCCAACCGGCCGTAGCTCAGTGGTAAATGCATGACTGCCTGACCGGCCGTAGCTCGGTGGTAAATGCATGACTGCCCAACCGATGGTAAATAATGATACATAACTGCGCAACCGGTGGTAACTGCCTCAAGGACCTCAAGGGTCTTGAAATCAGCCTGGAATAAGCGTTCAATCTCACATTGCAGAATATCTCCAGAACTCCAAAGCTAAGCCCTCCAATAGACAATCCTAAATTTTGCAAACTAAGGATATATAGCCCTTTTTTTTTTTTTTATAGATAATTAACTCGGGGAGATATATCTTCTTTCCTTAAGTCAATTGCATATGAAAGTCACTGAAAGGCAAAATAGTCTTGCAAGAACGTATTACTAGCTGAAACTATCTTTGGAAACCTACAGATAAACAATAATAGCTGAAGACTATTCTTCTTGTGGACATAGTATAGCAGTAGACAAACACTTTCTTGTATTTTAACATCTTCTGTTATAACAAATTAGTTGTGATTGTGGGTGCATACGTCACTTATATTATGAACATTAATATCTTTATCATATACCTCAATAGGGAACTAGATACGTATTTAGACATGCTTGAATATTACTTCCGCAACACAGGGAGTCCCTATCTTATCCATTATTCGTATTCTGTCTACTTTCTATTTTAGACCGTTGTGTAACAGTACTGCATATATTTGTAGATGCTCATGAACTTGCGACATTGGGGTTTGGGATATCCTAGTAGATATTTATGATTTGGCTTAATATTGCCACCTTTTATTTTATGTTTCACTAATATCGTAAGTATCTATGATTTTTAATGCATTAATTTCTTTATTTAATAAAATTCATGATTTAAAAAATAATTAAATTAATGATTAAGTGAACAGTTCACCATTGGCTTGTCTAATGGCGACATTGGGCGTCATCACGGCCTATAATAATAATAATAATAATAATAATAATAATAATAATAATAATAATAATAATAATAATAATAATAATTGTAGTAGTAGTAGTAGTAATAGTAGTAGTTGTAGTAATAATAGATATAGATTCGTGGATAGTGAAAGAGCTCCATAGGTTTTTCAGTGATGTCCTAACTTTCAGCGTTTACAGTACTCTCCTAACGTGTATTTTTTGAACCTTTCCTTTTTTTTAATTTTCAAATATTATACATAAAGATACCATTATAAATTAAATTTTCGTTATGCTCTAGGATCAAAATAACACTTTTGAACTAATCGAAGGTTAAATTTTTTCTTTGTCAAATAAAGCTGGGACTAGAACTAGAATTAAATAACAGCACAGAGACGATATATGGTTTCGGGAAGGAGTCCTTTTTGTTTTCACGCAAGGAACGCAGTCACTCATATTTAAGTATAACCCTAGAGGTTTCAGTAGCACAAATTCAACGCCAGTTCCTCATCATCACATGGCAATAAATATACCTGACGATGTCACCATAAGTATTCTCTCATACTTGCCAGCAAATTCCCTCTTGCGATTCAAGTGTGTTTCTAAGCCATGGCTTTCTTGGATTTCAGATCCCAAATTCGAGTTGTCGAATCAACAACGACGACGACGAGCTGTTGCGCTTTCCTACGGAAAAGATATACCCTCCTTCGACTCCCTAAGCCAAGAAATCTTCCTCACAGATCTCATATATCCAGTCAGTAAAAGACCAGTCTACAGACATGGTAAGTCTATTAAACGCTTTACATTGGGATGTAATTTGTTGGGTTCTTTTCATGGTCTCCTTCTGATAAACGTGGAAGAGCATATATTCTTGTGGAATCCTACCACAAGATTTTGCACCAAGGTACTTGAGCTCGATGAATTAACAAGGGAGGGCAATATTGGGGGACTTTGTTTCGACTCCTCTAACAATGACTACAAGGCACTACTTTTTATATGCTCAGTTTATTTCCGCAGGTGCGGGACCGCAGATGCGGTCCTCAAACCGCAGAAGCGGAAATCGCTGGGCAGTGAACTCTTTTAATTCGAACTCAAGTACATTTATTTCACATTATTCTCCACACTTGGGCGAAATTGGGGCTTCCAAAGAGAGGGTTTTCACATATCATCACAAGGTAAGTAATTTCCACTCCCCCTTAGCTTAAATACATGAACATTAGATAGACTAAACACTAGAAATTAAGTAAAAATTAAGGGTTAGCACTAAACCTAGGGTTTTAATAAAACTAAGATTTAATCTTGTAATTTACTATGTAATGAACTAGAAAT